ACTACTGCCGAGTAACATAATCCCCGCGGACACAGCCTCCTGCTGCCTGCTGCTTGCTACTCGATCCGGCCAGCTGTCGCCAGGGAGACCAGCAGCTGAGCTTTCGACGTCAGCCCTGACTCACCTCTTACACCCTCCTGTTGCACGCGAGGCTGCGGGAAATCGACCGGTCCCTATCGCCACCACCGGAGGCGGGATGATCGTCGTAGCAAAAAGTGGCTAAAAATGTGGCAGCTACGGTCGCCGCGCTAAATGCCTGCAAGCTATCAACTTGAATTAATTTTAATGTAATTTTTCTACCTACGTGACTTTAACGAAAAAGCTAAGAGTATGAATCCTTGCAGTCACGAAAGCTTCAAATCTAGAACTGTCAACTCCGGTTCAGTGATTCTGCACTTGCTCTATTACTATAGTACTATACCGCCTTCGACTTTTATGAACGACTGGGTGTTTAAGGTGAGCGATTTGTCGTATTAGGGGCCGTCCATAAATGACGTCACGCACCTAGAGGGGGGGGGTCAGACATTTGTGACGATGTGTGACGAGGGGGGTGAGAAATGTGACGTCACATAAAAATGCGCAACTTTAAATAAATATAGACAACACGTTCTACTTAATTAAATTGACTTTTTGATGAATGTTTTTCTCCTACAACATCAGAGTGCAGCGCCACATTAAATACGCACTACAATGACAATAGTTTAAAGCCATTTGAAGCATGTTTTATTTTTTTTGGGGGGGGGGGGGGCAGAGCTTTGTGACGTCATCTTTGAGGGGGGGGTCTGACTTTTTGTGACGCCGTGTGACGAGGGGGGGGGGGGGGTCAAAAATCGTACAAAATCGCGTGACGTCATTTATGGACGGCCCCTTCTCTGTCTGTATGGCAAAAAATCCAATTACTTTACTATGCAAGTAACAAATTAGTGTTTCAATATTTACGTGTTTTTTTATTTTATTTAGGACCCCTTTATAACAACATCATGATACAGGCCAGCCTCACTAGCTTCATCCAGCACTGCACACCACTCCTCACATGCCGGCCATATGAAATGAATGCGGCCCGAAAATGTAGGAGGTAGAAATGCCAGATGAGGTCCCATTGGGCCCTCTCCAAAGCCCCCCCTTGAATGTGAGCGAGACCCGTGACTTGTCACTGTTAACCAAACGAGGCATCCTACCGCCGTAGGCACGCACCATCATGGGAACGACATCAGGAAGAAAAAATTATTCCGTAAAAACAAAGTTTTTCACTATAAATCCTTTATATGCGTGGCGGCTAGAGTCCTCTCGTCCTCTGGCTTGAGATGGCTGCCACCTATGGGTCAGATGATTGCATGCCAGCATTAAGCAATTGGTAATTAAATATAATATTTTTGTCCTAAAAAGTGTAAAATTTTGGAAAAAAATTCACGAAAATTAATTGTCACGCACAACGAGTCTGTGTGGAAAATGTCAGCTCGATTGGATCACGGGAAGTGGGTTAAAAAACGACCGAAAGATTTGCACGGTCGTAAGCGCGCAAGCAAGCGCCCAAGTGAACTTAATATGAAGGATTTTAAAACTACCAGTACGTCTTCAGGTCAGAAGACGTAGCGAGGCGCTGAAAAGGCCACGCAGAAGGAACGTGTAGCACAGTTTGGCGCCCACCACAGATACGTATCCGTCACTGCAAGTATCTTAGCCACGACTAATCTGGTACTAGAGGTGGCGGCGTTTTGGGGGGGTGGGGAGTGGAATATGTTCGATCTTGAAACACTTGTTTATAAATTTCGAGTTAAAGCTTTCGTGACTGCAGGGATTCATCTTCTTGGTTCTTTCGGTAAAGTGACGTAGAATGGAAATAATAAAATAATAAAAATAAAACATAATAAAATAATTCTCACGACGTTTCGGCCACAACGCAAGCAGCCGTCCTCAGGTGAAGAACAGGTCGAAACGTCGTGAGAATTATTCTATTATGTTTTATTTTTATTATTTTATTATATCCATTATACGTGACTTTACCGAAAGAACCAAGAAGACTTGTTTATAATTTTGGTGCCGTGCCAGGTCACTTCTGTGACTTGGACCTTTTGACTCAATGCACAAAAGGGCCTCGATCTGCAATGATAAATGTGACCCGCAACTGTGCGTGTGTGTATGAAAGTGTGACCCGTGTGAGATGTGGCATTTTGGTGGTTCTGGCATTGTTGCTGAAGGAGGGAGGGCTTCTGCCGTACGCCAAATGTTCACAGCATTCATGACTTGCTCATGAGAATGTACGTTGAACTTCTTTCGCACCGTACGTAGCCACTCGCGCTAATCAGAGGTGCGGGGAAAGGTCATCACACTACTTTGGTTCAATGAAAGTAACTGAGAGGGGGGGGGGGGGTGGAGATAGGAGGCATTCCTATTTCGAGTAATCCTTATACTCTGGCTCAGCAGAAGAACATTTTGGAGGTGAAATTCCAGATGAGGTCCCCTTGGCCCTCTCCAAAAAGTTCAAAGTTAATTGATTAGGTGTAGCCCTGTGAGCCATTCATTCGGCTCTTGAATCGGGTGCAACCGCAACAAACTAAAAACATGAACAAGAAAACATATTGTAGTGAATATGTGACTAAGTGCAAACAGAAAATCCAAGAAAAGACAGCAAAATATTGCAGAAAAAGCACCGTACACCAACACTGTGTGCAAATATCCCAGTGGGATGCAATTCAAACAACAACAACCACAAGACAATTTAGATTAAGGCCATCAGTCTAACTCTGTACAACAACAAACAAACATGGCCAAACCAAAAAAACTTTTCGAAAATCACCAAAATAAAGCCATGAAAGCAATGAAACAGCAGTGATCATAGGAACTGTGAACGAATTTTCACAATAAACGACGTGAACAACACGCACCACCAAAAACCCTGCAGCCATAGCTGGCTGCATGAGTCACTCCACAACAGCAGCAGGAGCATCAGTCGGAGGCCCTCTCTTGGATGCGAGACCCGAAGCAAACTGCCTCTTCCGCTTCTTCCACAGCCCGTGCGCGTCTGTGCGTTAACGCGGTGGGGCACGAACGCCGGACGGCCGGTGATGATCGTCCGCGGCCGTGTTCGTAACGTTCCTACCGGATGACCGCCGCTATGTTTTGGGGCCAAGCTGGGATTACGGTGCGACATCAATTCGGTGCGCGGGCTACACGTTAACTCTCTCCCCGTGACGCATGCGCTCGGCTTATCCGCTTCTGTCCAGCTAAAGCGCCATCTGCCCAGCTCACGCACCCCCTGTTTAGTGGTCGTTTTTGTTAACGGGGGGGGGGGGAGGGAAGAAATCCACCCCACACCTCCCATCCACAGCTCTTGTCGATATTTGTAGCTCTTGCTGTGTCCCGGGCTGTCTGACATGAGTTTGAGGATCTGTTCATTTGCAAATTAAAAGCAACAAAACTGACACCTGTTTTTTTTTACAAGGAGTCATGTTTGCATTGACCACAATACCTGCAGTCGGAATGCAAACAAAAAACATAACTCTGATAATGTATGCACTGTCCTTGAAGTTGATTGGTCCACACCCGAGACAGCTTTCTTTAGAGCCTAGTCTCACATGGTGTTGGACCAGATGACGCCAAAAGGCGCACAACTCAAGGACAATGAACCATCAGAGTATGAGAGCTCGGGGTAAGCATTTACACCATTGGAACCTCATTTGCCAGTAAAAAATATGATAATTGTTTTTTTCCCCTTTACCTGGCAACAAAACTGACACCTTTTTTTACAAGGAGTCATGTTTGCATTGACCACAATACCTGCAGTCGGAATGCAAACAAAAACACAACTCTGATAATGTATGCACTGTCCTTGAAAGCTGTCTCGGGTGTGGACCAATCAATGATTCCTTGCAAAAGGTGTCAGTTTTGTGCCAGAAAAAAGGGGAAAACCCCTATTAGTATATTTTGCTACTGACAAAGGAGGTCCCATCAACAGGAGTTGTGTTAAAAGATGTTCAAACACCAAAATAGATGCAACCGTTTGCAAGGCATTAAGTCTGCCTTAGCCACACATACTTGTGGCAACAACATGATAACCAGCGTGTGGCTCTGACAACAATGTTACGCATTTTCTTGGTTCTTTCGGTAAAGTCACGTAGAATGGCAATGCCAGTGAGTGGACTGTGGTCTGAAAGAACCGTATTCTCACGACGTTTCGGCCACAACGCAAGCAGCCGTTCTCAGGTGTCGAAGAGGTCTGTCGAGAAGACAGAGTCTGAATGACACGCCCCAGGCTAGGAGCGACTATTTAAGCTGGGTTGGAGGGGCGAAGAGCGTCTTGACAAAATAAACCGCAGTCCACTCACTGGCATTGCCATTCTACGTGACTTTACCGAAAGAACCAAGAAGATGAATCCCTGCAGTAACGAAAGCTTTAAATCGAAATGTAATGTAATGTTACGTATTGTTTTCGAAACTGATTGGCCTACACCAGAGACGGTAGCAGCCTTCTTCATGGCCTCGTCTCACCACCAGCGTCAGACCAGACGACAACGCCAAGAGGCGAACAATACAAAGGGGCCGTCCATAAATGACGTCACGCGATTTTAGACGATTTTTGACCCCCCCCCCCCCTCTTCGTCACACGGCGTCACAAAAAGTCAGACCCCCCCTCAAATATGACGTCACAAAGCTCTGCCCCCCCCCCCAAAACATACTTCAAATCGATTTAAACTATTGTCATTGTAGTGCGTATTTAATGTGGCGCTGCACTCTGATGTTGTAGGAGAAAACATTTATCAAAAAGTCTATTTAATTAGGTAGAACGTGTTGTCTATATTTATTTAAAGTTGCGCATTTTGATGTGACGTCACATTTCTCAAACCCTCCCCCCTCGTCACACATCGTCACAAATGTCTGACCCCCCCCCCCCCACCTAGGTGCGTGACGTCATTTATGGACGGCCGCAAAGACGATGCACCTATCAGAGCATTCGTAGCTCACGGTGAGAAGCTACAAAATGGGACCGTTTTTTTATACTGGCAAAAAGGTCCCATTTTATAATTGAAACTGCTGAGGAAAGTAGGAGGGTTTGTGCAAGATGATGGGATGCTGTGCAAGAAGGCGTCCACTTCACCAGGTGGAGAGCGATGATGTGACCAGCTCGTGTGTGTATGTGCGTTTGTTCAGGATGGGAGGCACAGGTGGTGCATCGGCCAGTCATCTCAGTCAGGCAACCCATGGCACCGGATGGGTCTGTCCCGTGACCTCCTGCCGGCGGGCGTTCGACACTTCACGTGGCCTCAACGTGCACGTGGCCTGGCACAAGCGCTGTGGTGACGTCACCGCCACTTAACGGCGAATGGCGGTTGTTGTTGTTGTGCAGGATCTGGGTGCATTGTCACATCACGGGATTGCGAGGACGGACGGACGGCAGCTTGGGGGGAGAGAATATGAAATGCTCAAACGAGAGATTAATACTGCAAGGATTCAATTCACATTTAATCATTTCGACTCGACTCGCCAATCCACTTACACCAACATATTCACATTCCAGGAACGATATTCGCCCATCAATGAATCGGACGGCTTATTTATCAAACCGAGCAATTAAATCGTTATTAGCCGTGTCATCCCATCGTCTAACGAGTCACTTTCAATCACTTATACCTAGGAAATGTAATTTAGCAACAACTGAAATTATTCTTCTATGAAGCAGGTCTCCCACATTATTAATACGACAGAGGAATGAATCAGCGACGTGACACACGAGGCTACGATTGTTATAATCGTCGTCATCATTAGGGCATGCACACGAACACGTCAGTAGAACCCACAAGTCAAGTCACGTTAATTGCAAATCTCCATTTGACAGGCACGCGCTGGATTCGCAACAGAGAGGACATTACACAGTTGTGGATTATAAGCTCCACCACAGACAGACACACGCGCGTGCGCGCGCACGAGGGTGTAATCATGCAGACACTTAAACACGTTCCTTCGGAGTGGACAGGTAGGAACTTGATCGGACAGCGCATTCGTGCACGACAGAAAGCTCGCGGTCACGTGACGCACTTCGACCAATCCGGGAGTGTGCTACATGTTTGGGAGGGGCTATGCACGACAGACAAATAATCCCTGGTGGGCAGTGTGGAACTGTTGTTCCTACCTGTAGAAATACCGGGTTAACGTGGGAGGCTGTACAGAGTCATTGGCAGGTGGTCCTTCAAAGCGACTATGAGCGTATGGGTCAGTATGCCGGTACTGTGCATTGCTAATCGGCCACAGGCGACTATGGCCATGGCTGTCGGGGGCCAAGAAGAGCAGCCGATGGTGCTACTTCCTGTTCCGAACCCTTTTGCTAGACCTTTGCTAGACCTTTGCACTCGTGTCGGTGTTTGTGTTTCGTGTTTGTTGATGTAACGTTCTGACCAAGTGCCCCCGACTGGATATCTGTGAAAAAAAAGCTTCATAGCTCATCGGATTCCTCCGGTATAAATACACATTCTGATAATCCCCAGCCCCAATCTAAATGACCCCGAAATCCTAAACCATAATCTATAGCCCATAAATACTTACCCCAACCTATACATTCTATTCCTAACCCCGTCGAACCATCATTCCTAACCCATATCCATAACCTCAACCTTAAATCCTAACCCCTGAATTCTAAACCCAAACCCCTAAACAATACTCAAAAATCTTCTTGGTTCTTTCGGTAAAGTCACGTAGAAGGAAAATAATAAAATAATAAGAATTCAACATAATAAAATAATTTTATTATGTTTAATTTTTATTCTTATTATTTTATTAAAATAATAAAACTAAAACATAATAAAATAAATTATTTATGTTTTATTTTTATTATTTTATTATTTCCCTTCTACGTGACTTTACCGAAAGAACCAAGAAGATGAATCCCTGCAGTCACGAAAGCTTTAAATCGAAATACACAAAAACTAAAGAACGCACACAGAGTCTGTTCTCCGATAACGCGGCGGTAGAGAAATGGCGTCAAAATTAAGAATGCATTGTATAGGGGGTAAAGCAGAGTCCTCGATAACACGCGAGATGCGACCACGCAGGCTGAACGACGACCGCGTCGCGTGGGAAGCATCTAGAAGCATCCAGCAGCATCCCACTGCCTTGTGGGAAGTGAGGTCGAGGCAGCCGTACGACCGCTTATTCCTACTGGCGCTGCGGCGTAGTTACGTTCACCATTGGAACCTCATTTGGCAGTAAAAAAATTATAATTGTTTTTTTACCCTTTTATCTGGCAACAAAACTGACACCTTTTATACAAGGAGTCATGTTTGCATAGACCACAATACCTGCGGTCGTAATGCAAACAAAAAACATAACTCTGATAATGTATGCACTGTCCTTGAAGTTGATTGGTCCACACCCGAGACAGCTTTCCTTAGAGCCTAGTCTCACATGGTGTTGGACCAGATGACGCCAAAAGGCGCACAACTCAAAGACAATGCACCATCAGAGTATGAGAGCTCGGGGTAAGCATTTACACCATTGGTACCACATTTGGCAGTAAAAAAATATGATAATTGTTTTTTTACCCTTTTATCTGGCAACAAAACTGATGGTGCATTGTCTTTGAGTTGTGCGCCTTTTGGCGTCATCTGGTCCAACACCATGTGAGACTAGGCTCTAAGGAAAGCTGTCTCGGGTGTGGACCAATCAACTTCAAGGACAGTGCATACATGATCAGAGTTGTGTTTTTTGTTTGCATTCCGACTGCAGGTATTGTGGTCAATGCAAACATGACTCCTCGTAAAAAAAGGTGTCAGTTTTGTTGCCAGATAAAAGGGTAAAAAAACAATTATCAGGTTACATTCACTCGATCGCGCCGTTTCCAATTAGCATCCGCGTTATATTTTTTTTAATTGAAAAACGTGTTCCCCAATACATTCACCGCATTGCATCCAAGTCGAGTCGCGAAAACGACACGCGGCATTATCGGAGAACAGAGCATGTACCTTGAAATGTCGTCGAGTGAGGCCCAAGGAAGCTCTGCGATTGGCTGAGAATACGACCTCTATGACGAGTCTGGAAGGAGGGGCGGTCGTAACGTGCATGCAGCGGGTCGGGCCTGTCGCCTTCGGTAGGCCGTGTCTGGACTGTCGGGGGCTCTCATTGAGGTTACCGGTTGTGCTTCACTTGAGCAGTGTATCGGTTTAACACGTCGAATTTCGCGACCGATATTATTCACAATAAAGGTTTTTTTGGGGGGTATCGGGCGGTGGAGGGTTACAACACATCTATACTCACGCCATCTAACCCCAAAGCTTGTATTACGAATTTTATGAGTGTAAAGATCGTGGGTTCAATTCGCTCTTCCAACGTCATTCGTTTGAGCTGGGGAAAGTCCATTAGAGAATCGCACAGATGTTACCAGCGCCCTTTCAAATGACCCCTTGATCTACTGAGTACCGCTTCGATTCACCACCACCATCATCGTCATCATCACGATCCATGGGGCAGACAGCCCGTAGGTGTCCCACTGCACGTTTCGTCATTTGTTGCTGCCACTTTCCTCTCTGTCTTGCGGTGCCAATGTGCTCAAGCAGAGACCACACGTATTTCTGGCACCAATCTCTTGTGATTTCGTCGTGAAGCCATTTCTCCGTGAGGTCTTCCTCTCTGTCCGTTTCCTTCCATGTTTTTTTAACGGCACACTTTTCGATAATTGTTTTTTTTACCCTTTTATCTGGCAAAAAACTGACACCTTTTTTACGAGGAGTCATGTTTGCATAGACCACAATACCTGCAGTCATAATGCAAACAAAAAACATAACTCTGATAATGTATGCACTGTCCTTGAAGTTGATTGGTCCACACCCGAGACAGCTTTCCTTAGAGCCTAGCCTCACATGGTGTTGGACCAGATGACGCCAAGGTTCCAATGGGGCACACTTTTCACTTACCTGTTGTTGTCCATCCTACGTATGTGCACACACAGGTGTACACACAGTGCCAGTTTGCTTCGAATCACTGCCTGCATCACCAGGTCATCTTCTTATACGTGGCAACCTTTTTATCTACTTCTACGTTTTAGTTTTGACGAAATGATGAAATCGATACTGGAATAGCATTTACCAATTTCCACAAGGCAAGGCTTGAAGGGTAAGTGCAGGGACTTTGGTGGCACAGATGACGATATCGTTTATGGCGTTATCCACGTTAATGTCCATGATGTTATCGTCGATGACGTTACCGACGTTATTGTCGATGACGTTACCAACGTTATTGTCGATTACGTTATCCACGTTAATGTCCATGACGTTATCGTCAATTACGTTTTTCGACGTTATCGTCCAAGACGTTATCGACGTTATTGTCGATGACGTTACCAACGTTATTGTCCATAAGGTTATCGTCGATGACGTTACAGACGTTATCATCGATGGCGTTATCGACCACCATCACTTCGTCGCGCTGGGCGCGCACACGGCCGTGGGTTTCCAGCGGTTTTGGAGGCCAGATGTCCGACGTCCCCTATTTTTACCGCGATCGTTGACAAATCAAGAAATGAATGATTGCTAGAAGCGTTTTTCGTCTTTTTTTTCAACTGACCAGTGCGGTGGCTCAGCGGTGGAACTAGTGAGCCGCTCGCACCGATGGTTGAATTTCAGACGCTGTCTCCCCAACAGACCTGGTCTTCACCTGAGGACGGCTGCTTGCGTTGTGGCCGAAACGTCGTGAGAATTATTTTATTATGTTTTATTTTTATTATTTTATTACTTCCCTTCTACGTGACTTTACCGAAAGAACCAAGAAGAAAAATAATTTTAACTTATTTTATTATGTTTTATTTTTATTATTTGATTACTTCCCTTCTACGTGACTTTACCGAAAGAACCAAGAAGATGAATCCCTGCAGTCACCAAAGCTTTACATCGAAAGGTTGCGAGTTCGATCCCTGGTTGGCTGGGGATTCACTCGGCCCATCATCCAGCCTCCCTCGGCTCCCCTCTAGGGGTCAATAAAATGAGCACCGATTTGCGCAGAAGTTAACGGTGCTTGGTCCGATGGGGAAGACTCTTCCCCGCCGTAGGAATGTAGACATTATCCACCGCTGCGGGCTCAGGGTTGTAAACCTGCGGGTGATCCTCGCCTTAAATGCTCATTTTAGCGGTACAGTACGCTTTGTTGACATGTACCTTAGTCTCTAAGTGAATTACCTCGTCGCAATCCGAAGATGTCTCCACTCTCCTAAGCTGTGTGAACTTCTGTGCCATGTTAACCATTCTATCCTTGTTGTATTTTTCCCCAGGTCGTTTTCTTGTTTTTTGCAAAAAGGCTCATCGTCTTGATGGGCTGCCCGCCTGGCTTTAAAAACAGGGTAATGTTTCCACTGAGGGATATTATCACAATTTAAAATGGGTTTGGACCCGTTTAAACACCATCATTATCATCATCATCTCTACAGCAACAGTGAACAATCTCTGCTTCGACATTAATACCACCTTGTCATCTAAAACTAAACAACTCGCTAGAAACTCAAGCAGTACGCATCATCTTGACACATTAGTGGAAGATGCCTTACACAAATCAATATAAATTATTAGTAGTACCTGTCACGAAACTTCCTACCCGGCTTAAATAAACATTTTAATATAAAAAAAATAACTATAGCATTTCCCAGGGCTTCATTTCTTAACGGAAGGTTTTTTTGGAATCCCCAAATCCCCTGGACCCCCCCATCCCCTCCCCCCAATAGTAGGAAGGGTGGTCAGTTGGGGGGGGGGGGTTGTGCTGTTTGTAGTTGTAGTGACGTTCTTATCCGCCCCGACTGGACACCTGCGAAAAAGAGCTTTAGAGCTCATAGGATTCCTCCAGCAATAAATATTCTGATTCAGGGTCCCACCACCGACACCTCTGTCTTATCAGGGTTAGACCTCACGACGATGGCGTCGCTTCAAACAGTTTATCTGACAACGTGTGACGTCAAGTCCCACATTCTCGTTGTACACCGCGCTCGCTCAAAGCGCGCGGAACGTTGCACGATTCGCCGTGCGAAAAACACGGAAATAAAAAATACTGCCTCTCATCTATAAACAATACGAGTGGATAACCGCCCTGGGTTGAGTTGCACCTCGCTCCGATTCCCGTGCAAAATAATTCAGGGATGAATCTGCACTTCTCGTGCCGAGGCCGTGTCTACGGGACTGGGCACGGTGGCTAGATGTTAACTACCTGGCCTGGTATGCAGGAGGTCGTGGGTTCAATCCCTAACCTGGAGATGCCTGTTGTATATTTGGAGCTTGTGTGTCTCTCTCATCATCATCACGGTGGCCAGGAGATGTTAACTACCTCACCTGGTATGCAGGAAGTCGTGGGTTCGATCCCGACCCTGACGATGCCTGTTGTATATTTGGAGTTTGCGTGTCTCTCTCCCCAGTGGTCGCGTGGATTTTTCCTCCGATGTATCCCGCCACACTATGGGAACCTCATTTGCCAGTAAAAATATGATAATTGGTTCTTTACCCTTCTATCTGGCAACAAAACTGACACCTTTTTACAAGGAGTCATGTTGAGGTTCCCATAGTGTAGATGCTTGCCCCAAGCTCTCATACTCTGATGGTGCATTGTCCTTGAGTTGTGCGCCTTTTGGCGTCATCTGGTCCAACCCATATGAGACTAGGCTCAAAGGAAAGCGGTCTCGGGTGTGGACCAATCAACTTCAGGGACAGTGCACATTATCAGAGTTATGTTCTTTTGTTTGTATTATGACTGCAGGTATTGCGGTCTATGCAAACATGACTCCTTGTAAAAAGGTGTCAGTTTTGTTGCCAGATAGAAGGGTAAAGAACCAATTATCGTATCCCGCCACATTTAGAATCAAAGTGCGTTCAGAGTATTTGGCTGCTTTAAATTTCCACGTGATAAGCCACTTCGTTGAGCAATCATTTAGGGGCCAGCTCGCTTCTGAAAAAGACCTATGGAGCTCAGTGGGCCTTACCTGGTCAAATCTAAATAGTTTAAAGTTTCAAGGATCCACTGACAAATCATTATGAGAGTGTAGGGCACACGGCTTCCCTGATTGGGTCAACCTGCCACGCGCCCCAACAGTGGACGCCTTCTCCACCCCCGCGCTTTTTTGGACGTAGTCTCAACAAATTGGACTGCGCGGAGTTTCACCGATCACGTGGGGTGAACGTGCCCCACGAGAGTGGCGACCTCGTCGGAATTTAATTGGCCAGAATGAACAGCTTTAAAATGTGCCTTTGGCTGGAATAAATAACACTGGTCAACACACTTTTTCTGGAATAAGGTATTCCAACGGTTGTAATGTTGGGGTGCTGATTCCAAATCTGGCATTAGTTTTTGTCTATCACATCAGGTTTTTGAGATATCAAATATTGCATTTTCAATAAAAACTGCAGAAGAAAAAATTTAAATGAATGTGGATATTTACATAAAATGATATTATAAACACACTATCCTAAAAATACAGCACCATATTTTAACACTAAAGCAGTCACTGACTCGCAACAACTTGCAATCATAAGTGACAGAGTTAACTTCGGGTAAAATCAATGAAAATAGGGTATGCCGATAGCATAAAATTAGATGTGATAGAGCAAATCTGAGATCAGATTTGGAATCAGCACCCTGAAATTAGTCTAGAACAGCTGCAAAAGTCCAGGCCAGAAAAAAATGTTTTTTTTTTGTTGACCAGTGTAATAGCAACGATCATTTATATTATTTGGGTCTTTCGCTAAAGTCACGTAGATAGGTTCAAAGAAAATAACAAAAAATAACAAAAAAACTACGACGTTTCGATCGCAACACAAGCGGGCGTCATCTCCCCGATGACGTGACTTTAGCGAAAAACCCAAAGAATATGAATTCCTGCTGTCACGAAAGCTTTTAAGTCAACATTTAACGATCATTTACTTTATTCTTTGTGGGAAGCCTTTCCGGCATAGTCCGAATTCGAGTTTCACAGAGTCGGGCCGATTCTTGCACGGGCAGTTCGATGCGTGCAGTCACGAACGCCGACATTATTTGAACATAATCAACGTTTTTGGGTTTAGATCGCGTTATTTATAAATGTGTCGTAACCCTCCACCACCCGACACGGCCAATCAGTAAAAAAGTGTCACGTTGACAAAAGACAAATAGTTCACTGCTTTAGCCCACCGGTGTGTTGAAGCGTGAAACCACAACATTTACAATTTGAGCAGTACGACGTTTCGCTGGTAATTGCATCCAGCATCATCGGGCAATTCGCCAGAATGGTGAGGCTCTGCTGTGTCTCCCGTTCTTATATAGAGCAGCAGCAGCAGGGTGACGTCATCATTAACTCATCAACTCATCAGATGCAACGATTTGAGGCGGGGGGGGGGTTATTGTTATTATATACTAGGGCTAAAGCAGCGAACTATTTGTCTTTTGTCAACGTGACACTTTTTTACTGATTGGCCGTGTCGGGTGGTGGAGGGTTACGACACATTTATAAATAATGCGATCTAAACCCAAAAACGTTGATTGTGAATAATATTGGTCGCGAAAGCCTGCTACGTGTTAAATTATTTGAACAGCCAAATCCACGAATCGCTACTTGCATACCAGGCAACTTCATTTCCTTCCAACCACCAATCTCACAACTCAAGAGGACAACTTCGCATCACCAGTGGAACCCCTGGCATTCGATATTCGACCACCGTTTCTGTACAGCATCTGGAGATGCGGTGACATGAACGCGCCGTATGAATCCACGTTGCATGTGTGTACGTCCGTTGAACTTTTTTCACACCGTACGTAGCCAACCGTACTAATCGGAGGTGCGATTGCAATCGTACCGAACCAACCAAAACTCACCTCATCCGTCATTAACACTGCCTTGTTTCAGTGCCCCTTATTCAGAGGACAGCTTTAACCTGAAGGGTTATGATATATATTTTCATGGTCCGCACACCTAAGGTTGAAAGCTTTTTGTTATGCATTTGTGCTATCTGTACATCGTGGAGACGGGAACAATAATTATTGTAAAGATGATCCAATATGACCCCAACGTTTGTACAATATTATGTTGCTATTAGGGATTCACCCTAGAAAGATTAAAAAAAACGGGCAAATTAATCGATAATTTACCCAAATATTTGAGACGCAAACAAGAACCGAAATGACTACTGCTTTGCAAATCCGCAAATTAAATTTGCCCCGACAGCAAGCTACCCCCGTCAGTTTCCTAACCTCCCCTCGCGAAGCCAAAAGCGCGCTCGGAAACGCGTTGCACGAAGCATGGGGTGGCGCGTGCGTGTTTTCACGATTGACGCGTAAACTCTCGTTCCGCTGCGAGGCAGTGTCTATGACGAAGGTGTAGCGAGCGGTCCGACCCCCCCCCCCCCCCCACGTTTTGACAGACTCACCGATCCGTCGACTCGCCTGCCACGGGGACGCGGCGACTGCTGCTCGCTGGGGGATCGTCGGCACGGTTCACGGGGCCTGCTGGCCCCGACTGCCACAAGGATGCCGAAGGTTCTTTGGAGGTGGGAACGGCTTTTAACTAACGATGCACGAGGAGGGGAAGAGGGGGGGGAGACCCGTGCTGCCGTTGCGTACGTACGCACACGCGCGCACGTACGCACACGTGCGTGCGTACCACGCGCGCGCTCGCTCGCTCGATCAGCGCATGTCGCCCTCGGAGTCGTCCGGGATGGTTTTCTTGATGCGCAGGAGCATGGTCGTCATCCACTGGTCCATCCTCGCCCCGGAGTCAAACTCCTTCACCTGCGAGGAGGGCACGCGCGCGCGCACACACGCGGTCGTTCGAAACGCCCGAGCTGTCAACGTCCGGTGAGAGAGTGTCAGAGTCCAGTCACCGTCGTCGGCGTTTCGTCAGACGCACTTTTTCCACTGGCACATTCAGGCCGAGGCACAATCAGGAGTGGCTTTGCCATTGGTTGCTCGCAGTGCAGAGCCAGAAACTAACTGTGATGCGCTGGACTCACGAGATATTTGACTACTCAAATCTATCTTCTTGGTTCTTTCGGTAAAGTCACGTAGAAGGGAAATAATAAAAATAAAACATAATAAAATAATACAAATAAAACATAATAAAATACAATTCTCACGACGTTTCGGCCACAACGCAAGCAGCCGTCCTCAGGTGAAGACCAGGTCTGACGCTGTCTCCCCGACAGACCTGGTCTTCACCTGAGGACGGCTGCTTGCGTTGTGGCCGAAACGTCGTTAGAATAATTTTATTATGTTTTATTTGTATTATTTTATTATTTCCCTTCTACGTGACTTTACCGAAAGAACAAAGAAGATGAATCCCTGCAGGCACGAAAGCTTTAAATCGATACTCAAATCTACGTGTTTTTTTTTTATTTTACCAGATAAAGGCCCCACTGAACTAAGACGCTCTTTTTCAGAAGCGAGCTGGGCTTTCAAAGATGATAGCTCAAAGCAGTGGCCGATCATCATGTGGAAATTCATAGCAGCCAATTACGCTAAATGCATGTTTCTAAATATAGAGGGGGAAGAAAACGGTGGACCCGGAGAAAAATCCACGCGGCCACGGGTAGAGAGACATGCAAACTCCAAATCTACACGTGTCGGGGTCGGGATCAAACCCACGACTTCCTGCGTGCAAGGCGAGGTAGTTAACATCTCGCCAGGGCAGTACCCAATTTGAATCTGGCTCGGGGCCAAGCAGGGCCAGGGGATGAGGCTAACGTTGTGAGCGATGCGAGTCGGCGAGCGGTGAGGACGCAGCGTCACCACCGTGTCACCTGTACGTGCGTCTCAACTCGTCCGTTGCGTGTGACACAGCCCGACCAAAGACACCCCCCACAAGCGTAGCGTTGATTTCTATCGACTCGAGACGTTTGACGCGGTGACAATGATGGCATTGACGACGCGCGGTTCCGGTGATAATGATGTGGTGGGATGATGACGGTAACTTCATCAAGGGACGGCGATGATATTGTGACGAGCTGCATCGACCACCGACACTCGCGCCATTCCGATCTCCGCAATCACCGACTCGCGCCGCACTGGTTACGCAAACGTAACACGACGCGGCGACGGTCTCGCTCCGCGGACGGATGTCGTGAATCTTTTAACGCGTTCCAAACCCGCCTCTCTCATTCGGGGGCAACGCTAGGCACACGCGCGCGGTGGGTGTCGGAGGAGAGGGGGGGCAGGAGGCGGGGGGCGGGGGTTGGGGGGAGAAATCTGTGAGCGCGGCTCGCCGTCGCGCGCCTCACCGTCTCGGTGAATGCTTCCAAGTTGTTCTCCTCGTGAGCCTCGAGTAGTTTCTGTTGCGGAAACAACAGCCGGGGTGGGTGGTCGGCTCCGTGTCACCATCGCTCAACACCTTGCTGCTCCAGCACCCGAGCCCCGGCACCGAGCCCCGTTTCTCTCTCTCTCTCTCTCAGGAGACCCAATGGAACCGTGGCGCATAGCCAGCAGCTGTGATATCAACTTAAAAAGTAGATTTTTTTTTAACCAGGTAAGCCCCACTGAACTACGTAGCTATTTTGTTTCAGGTCAAGTAATATACTTACCTGTAGCGTGCTTCGGCACGGGCAGAGTATGTTTAGACTGATCTCGGTACAATGACAATTAAAAATAAATGACAGAGGCATTATGCAGATATAGGGTGACGACTACTGTGCTCGAAACGAAACAAAAACTTTTGTATGTCGCCAAGGAAGGCCCACTGAGCTATTTGGATCTTTTTCAGAAGCGACCTGGCCACGAATGATAGCTCAACGAAGCGGCGTATCATCACGTGGAAATGTATAACAGCCAAATACGCTAAACGCGTGATGATGTTGATGCTAAGCGTGGAGGGAAAAACTGGAGGGCCAGAAGAAAAATCCACGCGACCATGAGGAGAGAGACACGCAAACTCCAAATATACAGGTGTCAAAGGTCAGGATTGAACCCACGGCTTCCTGCATACCAGGCGAGGTAGTTAACATCTCCCAGTTTGTTAAACGCTACACGGGGGAGGGGGGGGGGTGGTCTTTGTTGCGTGGATGGGCCCCCCATCCCCGTTCACCTTGACGAATTTGCATTCACGCGAGTCGGCGAAGGCAGGAAACATCTGCTCGTATTTCTCCACGGCGATCTGGTGGCAGACACAGGCAGAGAGAGTTGCTGAAAGCAGCACTACCCTACACCCCCCCCCCCTTTTGTTGGCTGCTGTGTACTGCACCCCCCTCCACCCCCCCCTTGTTGATTTTTATTTCAACCTGAGGAGTAACCACCCCACCACCACCACCCCTTGCCTGACCCAACACGCTTTTGAGAAATGAATGTGTGGATAACATAGGTGTCAAACCCTTATCAGTGCACTACCTTATTATAGACCAGTTCAGACCGTATTGGTCACCCTTTATACATTTCCATGTCCCATCACAAGGGAGAAACACAAACAAATAGACACTCACCACTAGTACACTCACCATTACACTCACCACTAGTACACTCACCACTAGTACACTCATCACTACTACAATCACCACTAGCACACTCATCACTAGTACACTCACCACTAGTACACTGACCACTAGTACACTGACCACTAGCACACTCACCACTAGTACACTCACCACGAGTACACTCACCACTACACTCACCACTAGCACACTCATCACTAGTACACTCACCACTAGCACACTCATCACTAGTACACTCACCACTAGTACACTCACCACTAGTACACTCACCACTAGCACACTCATCACTACTACAATCACCACTAGCACACTCATCACTAGTACACTCACCACTAGTACACTGACCACTAGTACACTCACCACTAGTACACTCACCACTAGTACACTCACCACTAGTACACTGACCACTAGTACACTCACCACTAGTACACTCATCACTACTACAATCACCACTAGCACACTCATCACTAGTACACTCACCACTAGTACACTGACCACTAGTACACTGACCACTAGCACACTCACCACTAGTACACTCACCACGAGTACACTCACCACTACACTCACCACTAGCACACTCATCACTAGTACACTCACCACTAGCACACTCATCACTAGTACACTCACCACTAGTACACTCACCACTAGTACACTCACCACTAGCACACTCATCACTACTACACTCACCACTAGTACACTCACCACTAGTACACTCACCACTAGTACACTGACCACTAGTACACTCACCACTAGTACACTCATCACTACTACAATCACCACTAGCACACTCATCACTAGTACACTCACCACTAGTACACTGACCACTAGTACACTGACCACTAGCACACTCACCACTAGTACACTCACCACGAGTACACTCACCACTACACTCACCACTAGCACACTCATCACTAGTACACTCACCACTAGCACACTCATCACTAGTACACTCACCACTAGTACACTCACCACTAGTACACTCACCACTAGCACACTCACCACTAGTACACTTACCACTAGTACACTCACCACTAGTACACTGACCACTAGTACAATCACCACTAGCACACTCATCACTAGTACACTCACCACTAGTACACTGACCACTAGTACACTCACCACTAGTACACTCACCACTAGTACACTCACCACTAGTACACTGACCACTAGTACAATCACCACTAGCACACTCATCACTAGTACACTCACCACTAGTACACTCACCACTAGTACACTGACCACTAGTACATTCACCACTAGTACACTCACCACTAGTACACTCACCACTAGTACACTGACCACTAGTACAATCACCACTAGCACACTCATCACTAGTACACTCACCACTACTACACTCACCACTACTACACTCACCACTAGTACACTCACCACTAGTACACTCACCACTAGTACACTCATCACTAGTACACTCATCACTAGTACACTCATCACTAGTACACTCACCACTAGTACACTCACCACTAGTACACTCACCACTAATACACTCATCACTAGTACACTCACCACTAGTACACTCACCACTAGTACACTCACCACTAGTACACTCACCACTAGTACACTCATCACTAGTACACTCATCACTAGTACACTCACCACTAGTACACTCATCACTAGTACACTCACCACTAGTACACTCACCACTAGTACACTCATCACTAGTACACTCACCACTAGTACACTCACCACTACACTCACAACTAGTACACTCACCACTAGCACACTCATCACTAGTACACTCACCACTAGCACACTCATCACTAGCACACTCACCACTAGTACACTCACCACTAGTACACTCACCACTAGTACACTCACCACTACACTCATCACTAGTACACTCACCACTAGTACACTCACCACTAGTACACTCACCACTAGTACACTCACCACTAGTACACTCACCACTAGCACACTCACCACTAGTACACTCACCACTAGTACACTCACCACTAGTACACTGACCACTAGTACAATCACCACTAGCACACTCATCACTAGTACACTCACCACTAGTACACTCACCACTAGTACACTCACCACTAGTACACTCACCACTAGCACACTCACCACTAGTACACTCATCACTACTACAATCACCACTAGCACACTCATCACTAGTACACTCACCACTAGCACACTCACCACTAGTACACTCACCACTAGTACACTCACCACTAGTACACTCACCACTAGTACACTGACCACTAGTACAATCACCACTAGCACACTCATCACTAGTACACTCACCACTAGTACACTCACTACTACTACACTCACCACTAGCACACTCACCACTAGTACACTCACCACTAGTACACTCACCACTAGTACACTCACCACTAGTACACTCACCACTAGCACACTCATCACTACTACAATCACCACTAGCACACTCATCACTACACTCACCACTACTACACTCACCACTAGTACACTCACCACTAGTACACTCACCACTAGTACACTCACCACTAGTACACTCACCACTAGTACACTCACCACTAGTACACTCACCACTACGCTCACCACTAGTACACTCACCACTACATACCTATAAAACCCCTCATCAGTGCCCTACCTTATTACAGACCAAGTGAGACCTTACTGGTCACCCCGTGCCCTTATAAATCTCAACGTTCATCCTACAAAGTCCCATCACAAGCGAGAAACACACACAAAGACAACATTTTTTTCCCCGCATTGAAGCGGCTGTTACGCCGTATGACACCTGAAAAAACTCTATTTCCCCGTACAACAATACGGGGTAAACCGTGTGGCTTCACACGGTATGGGATAATGAGCGTCGGTCGATACTCTAACACAATTGTCCATTTTGCGGAGTATCCTCTACCAGCTATGTGCTAACTGCAAGCGAATGAGAAACAATTGAACGGGACGCTCAGCACGCGTGAAGGAATTTGCTCGCTCTCGCCCGTTACTCTTGGAAACCCGCGCCGTGTACGGTCGACAGAGGTCGCAACCGGGTACCCGATACCCGTACCCTACCCGATACCCGGCTACCCGTACCCGGCCGGGTACGGGTACCCGTTTGCGACCCTGGTGCGGCCGGGTACGGGTAGACCGTGAGGTCACTGGTGAGTAACTGTTTGTCACTCATTTCCCAACGTCTTGTCTCTTCTCACAATTCAAGTTCCTAGAATCAACCCACCCACGCCTGCAACATGGCTTCATCCCAGAGGTCGCAATCGGGTACCCGATACCCGTACCCTACCCGGCCGTGTACCGTGCTGGCCTTCATAGGTGCTCGCTAACAGCACTTGCCCCTAAAGTTAAAGCTATACAGGGGCTCTTTGTTTTTGGTGGTTGTGTGGGGAATGGTAGTGTAGCGGTTAGCGTGCTGCGCTAAGAACCTGGTGACCCGCTCACGGCCAACACCAGTGGCGAATATCTGGACCGGTCCTGGGCCTCCCCTAGGTCGACTCAGCCTCAAATGAGTACCTGGTGCGGTGTGTAAACATCGCCACCGGGGTGACAAAGGCGGCCGGGCATGGTGCTGTCCACGCACCGCCTCGTGTGCCGTGCCGGCCTTCATAGGTGCTCCCTAACCATTAGGGCTATATGGGGGATCTTTGTACCTGTGTGTGTATGGTGGGCATGTGTGGCATGTCTATGGTGTGTCTATGGTGTGTATAAGCATGACATGGGTATGGCGTGTATCGTGGCGTCCTTCTCCCGCACCTCCCATTGGCACGGTTGGTTGCGTTACGGTGCGAAAGAAGTTCAACTTACACGCGGCACATACGTGTGCGCCTGACATGCGTGTCCGTGTGCACGTGTGTGTACCTGCGCGTTCAGAGCGTCCACGCAGAAGTGGCACACGGCCGCCTTGAAGAAGCTCTCGCGGGCGTTGATCTTCAGCAGAGAGCTGTCCATGGTGCTGGTGCCCACCTGTGGTGGGGGGTGTGAGTGTGGGGGGTGGTGTGGTGAGTGGTGTGTGGGGGGTCGTGTGTGTGTGGGGGGTGGTGTGAGTGTGGTGGGTGTGTGGTGAGTGTGTGGTGCGTGTGGTGGGTGGTGTGGTGTGTGGTGGGGGGTGTGAGTGTGGAGGGTGTGTGGTGAGTGGTGTGGGTGGTGCGTGTGTGGTGGGGGGTGTGAGTGTGGGGGGTGGTGTGAGTGTGGTGGGTATGGTGGGTGGTGTGAGTGGGGGGTGGGGGGTGTGAGTGTGGAGGGTGTGTGGTGAGTGGTGTGTGGGGGGTCGTGTGTGTGTGGGGGGTGGTGCGTGTGGTGTGAGTGTGGTGGGTGGTGTGTGTGGTGGGTATGGTGGGTGGTGTGAGTGGGGGGTGGGGGGTGTGAGTGTGGAGGGTGTGTGGTGAGTGGTGTGTGGGGGGTCGTGTGTGTGTGGGGGGTGGTGCGTGTGGTGTGAGTGTGGTGGGTGGCGTGTGTGGTGGGTGGTGTGGTGTGTGGTGGGTGGTGCGTGAGTAGTGGGTGGTGCGTGTGTGGTGGGTGTGTGGTGGGTGGTGCGTGTGTGGTGGGTGGCGCGTGTGTGGTGGGTGGTGCGTGTGGTTTGTGGTGCGTGAGTGGTGGGTGTGTAGTGGGTGGTGTGGTGGTGCGTGTGTGGTGGGTGGTGCGTGTGTGGTGGGTGTGTGGTGGGTGGTGGTGTGTGGGGGGTGGTGCGTGTGTGGTGGGTATGTGGTGGGTGTGTGGTGGGTGGTGCGTGTGGTGTGTGGTGTGAGTGTGGTGGGTGGTGCGTGTGGTGGGTGGTGCGTGTGGTGGGTGGTGTGAGTGTGGTGGGTGGTGCGTGAGTGGTGGGTGGTGTGAGTGTGGTGGGTGGTGTGAGTGTGGTGGGTGGTGCGTGTGTGGTGGGTGGTGCGTGTGGTGGGTGGTGCGTGTGTGGTGTGTGGTGTGAGTGTGGTGGGTGGTGTGAGTGTGGTGGGTGGTGTGAGTGTGGTGGGTGGTGCATGAGTGGTGGGTGCTAACCTCCGATTAGCACGTCCGGCTACGTACGCTTTGCGAAAGAAGTCAAACGTACGGTACGGTACCACGTTACGTATCGACGTAACCACTGCCGCCACCGCCGCAGCGGATGGATCGTGGCCACCGACGACGTGGCAGTTTTGTTGCCAGATAAAAGGGTAAAAAACAATTATCATATTTTTTACTGGCAAATGAGGTTCCAATGGTGAAAATGCTTTTACCCCGAGCTCTCATACTCTGATGGTGCATTGTCTTTGAGTTGTGCGCCTTTTGGCGTCATCTGGTCCAACACCATGTGAGACTAGGCTCTAAAGAAAGCTGTCTCGGGTGTGGACCAATCAACTTCAAGGACAGTGCAGACATTATCAGAGTTGTGTTTTTTCTTTGCATTCCGACCGCAGGTATTGTGGTCTATGCAAACATGACTCCTTGTGAAAAAAAGGTGTCAGTTTTGTTGCCAGATAGAAGGGTAAAAAACCAATTATCGACGACGTGGCTACCTGTTCGTAGATCTCGATGGCCTTCAGGTACTGCTCCAGCTGCGCCGCGTATGCCGCTACCTTTAGCAGACACTTGTTGGCCGTACTGTGGGGGGCACAGGGGGCAGAGGATAGGTCACGGGGGGGGGGGCCTTGCAGTTGCCCCTCGTTAACGGCATGTGGTCAGTCGCGTCAGCCAGGCAGAGGGGGACGGAGATATGATTGGGGCGCCACAGTGGCGAGATGTTAACTGCCTCGCCTGGTATACAGGAGGTCGTGGGTTCGATCCCGACCCTGACGCCTGTTGTATATTTGGAGTTTGCGTCTCTCTCTCATCATCATCACAATGGCTAGGAGATATTAACTACCTCGCCTGGTGTGCAGGAGGTTGTGGGTTCGATCCCGACCCTGACGCCTGTTGTATATTTGGAGTTTGCGTCTCTCTCTCATCATCATCACAATGGCTAGGAGATTTTAACTACCTCGCCTGGTATACAGGAGGTCGTTGGTTCGATCCCCGACCCTGACGCCTATTGCATATTTGGAGTTTGTGATGTCTCTCTCATCATCATCACGGTGGCTAGGAGATGTTAACTACCTCGCCTGGTATACAGGAGGTCGTTGGTTCGATCCCCGATCCTGACGCCTGCTGTATATTTGGGGTTTCCGTGTCTCTCTTCCCCTGGTCGCGTGGATTTTTTCCCAGGTCCTCCGGTTTTTCCCTCCAAATTTAGAATCAACGTCACGCGTTTAGAGCATTTGACTGCTATAAATGTCCATGTGATGATAAGCCACTTCGTTGAGCCGTCATTTGCGGCCAGGTCGCTTCTGAAAAAGAGCTACATAGATTAGTAGGCCTTAACTGGTAAAATAGAAAATAGGTAAGAGTAAAACCGATTAGAGCCAGGTCTTTGCGATTGGTGGTTCGTCAAGACGGCAATCGGTGTTGATGGTGATTTGACCACAAGCCACTTTGTGACACGCTGGTCAGTCAGCGAGCCGGTAGGATGAGAGGGTGGTGGTGATTATGAGAGGGTGGTGTTGGTGATGATGATGAGAGGGTGATGGTGGTGATGATGAGAGGGTGGTGGTGATGAGAGGGTGGTGGTGATGATGAGAGGGTGGTGGTAATGAGAGGGTGGTGGTGATGATGAGAGAGTGGTGGTGATGATGATGAGAGGGTGGTAGTGATGATGATGTGGTGGTGATGATGATGATGATGAAAGGATGGTGGTGATAATAACGAGAGGGAGGTGGTAATGAAAGGGTGGTGGTGATGATAGGGTGGTGGTGATGATGAGGGGGGTGTTGGTGATGATGACAGAGAAAGAAAAAAGATAAACGCAGAGCGAACAGGGGCAATATGCATGGAGGAGCAGCGTCTGTTTTCACAGTGAGCGGGGGGGGCGGGAGGGGGGATTCAGTGATGGTGTGGCAACACATGGGTCACGTGATTTACGGGAGGCATCAGCCGCTTCCGACAGAGTCACCTGTTTGCCTCCTCCCCTCTGTAGAAGTCCGCCGCTTGCTCGTAATGGGCCATCGACTGCGTGGAGAGGGAAACGCAGCCATCATTGACGTCTCAATTTACCGCCGCAGCCGTTCATTTCATGCCACATATACGGCAGCGTTCTTCGCTGATTTTCAGGGAGGGGAGGGGGGAAGGTGGACACTTTAACCGATAAGACATCGTCATTCTAGATTTGAAGCTTTCGCGACTGCAAGGATTCATACTCTTAGGCTTTTTCGGTAAAGTCACGTAGGTAAAAATAATAATAAAAATAAAATAATAGAAATAATATTAGAAATAAAATGATAAATCACTATCATAATTGTATTTCTATTATTATTTGGATTATTTTATTTTTACATCATTAGACCTCCTTTGCCAGTAGATGCTCACCCCGAGCCCTCGTTACTTTGATAGTACCGCTGTCTTTGAGCTGTACGCCTTTTGGCGTCCTCTGGTCGAGCACCAATTGGGTCGAGGCTCAAAAGAAAGCCGTCCCTTGGTGTGGACCAATCGGTTTCAAGGACAATGCATATATTATCAGAGTGTGGTTTTTGTATGCATTTTGACTGCAAGTATTGTGGTTAATGCAGACGTGAATCCTTGTAAAAAGGTTTCAGTTTTGTTGCCAGAAAAAAGGGGAAAAACCCTATCATTACATCGCCAAGACTGCTTTACGAGGCGCCGGTGAGCCGTTACGCTGCACCGGTGTAAACGCTGATACGTCCGTTTAGAAAAAAGCGGCAGACACAATCAATGGATCTGATCTCCCCCTTCCCTCCTGAAACTCGAGCCTCCGACATTTGAAATGTATAGCTGGCTCCGTGTTAACACAGCTTAAGTTTAAAGGTCACACCGTGTTAAGTTGAGAGTGAAATTACATCTTCTTGGTCCTTTCGGTAAAGTCACGTAGAATGGAAATAATAAAGTAATAAAAATAAAACGATAGCTCAACTAAGTAGCTTATCATCATCATCACGTGGACATTTAAAGCAGCAGCCAAACACTCTAAACACGCGACGTTGATTCTACATGTGGAGGGGAAAACCGGAGGAGCCGGGGAAAAGTTCATGTGACTACGAGGAGAGAGAGAGACACGCAAACTCCAAATGTACAGCAGGCGTCAGGGTCAGGATCGAACCCACGAACTCCTGTACACCAAGCGAGGTAGTTAACATCTTACTACCGTGGTAAGCAAGTCACTAAATACGAATGAACACATTCCTGCGGAGGGAGCTGGTAGGAACGTTGGGTTGCTCAGTCAATGGCCTGCAGGGTCAACGGCGGCGTGGTGTATTCCGCAAATATGCCCGACTGTGAGGGCGGGCACAAGCCGGCGTGAGTAGGTTAAACGTTGAGTTTTATAAGGGCACAACGGGGTGACCAGCCCCTCCCCAACCAGCCCCACCCCTCCCACCCCACCCAGCCCCTCCCCACCCAGCCCCTCCCCACCCTCCCCACCCTCCCCTCCCCACCAAGCCCCTCCCTCCCCACCCAGCCCCTTCCTACACGATGGACGGACGGACACAATAATCCCCTGTGGGATGGTGGAACCAGTGGGTTCCTACCAGTATAATGTAATTATTTATGTAAGTCCACTTTATCAAGATTAGGCAAGGCAGCAAAAACTACGACAAAACTGTTCCCAGACCACACAAAGATCACACAGGTGATGCTCAACGTTACAAATCACATCTGAACATGTGACTAGTCTTCTGCTTCAGATGGACTTGGTCGCGCTGAGAGGGGGCGACTCACTCGCACGCCATGCTTACCTTCTCAACGTCCACCAACTCGCTCTCGTGAATTTCTGCAATGGTCATGTGGTGCTTGGCGGCGATTGTGAATCGACCCTGTGCACACAAACAAAGACAAAGATCCCCCGTGTAGCTTTAACAGACTGTTGGGCCAAGTGCTGTTAGCGAGTAGCACCTGTGAAGGCCGACACGTCACACGAGGGGGTGGGTGGCCAGCACCACGCCCGGCCGCCTTTGTCTCCCCAGTGGCGATGTTTATACAGTGCACCAGGTACTCATTTGAGGCCGAGTCGACCTAGGGGAGGCCCAGGACTGGTTCAGATAATCGTCACTGGTGTTGACCGTGAGTGGGAATCAAACCCAGAGCGCCAGGTTCATAGCGCAGTGCGCTAACCGCTGCACTACCGCTCCCCATACACACGCACCACCACCACCATCATTAATGATGTAAAAAAAGAATAGGGTTTTACCCTTTCTGGCAATAAAACAGGAGTTGTGTTAAGATGTTCAAACACCAAAATAGATTAAAACCTTTTGCAAGGCATAAAGTCTGCATCAACCACACATACTTGTGGCAAACAAACACGTGTCCATGATAATAATATTGTTACGTTCTAGATTTGAAGCTTTCGTGACTGCAATGATTAATATTTTTAGGTTTTTTCGGTAAAGTCACGTAGGTAAAAAATTTAAATTAATAAAAGTCAAATTAAAATAAAATAAAAATCACGACGTTTCGGAGGCAACACAAGCTTCCGTCTTCAGGTGGAACCGTCACAGCACGATAGCTGTATCAAGTAATAATTTTAATTTTATTTTTATTTTACTTTTATTAATTAACATTTTTTACCTACGTGACTTTACCGAAAAAACCTAAGAATATATTGTTACGTGATTGTCTTCTAAACTGATTGGTCTACGCCAGAGATAAAGTCTTCTTCACGGTCTCGTCTCACCAGTGTCAGTAGAACCAGAGAGAACGCCAATAGGCGAACAGCACAAAGAGAATTCAAGTATTGGCACACTTATAGGTCGTGTTGAGCAATTATAACACATTCCTGCGGAGGGAGCTGGTAGGAACGTTGGGTTGCTCGGTCAGTGGCCAGGCTCAACGGCGGCGTGGTGTATTCCGCAAATATGCCCGACTGTGAGGGCGGGCACAAGCCGGCGTGAGTAGGTTAAACGTTGAGTTTTATAAGGGCATCACGGGGTGACCAGCCCGTCCCCACCCAACCCCACCCCTCCCACCCCCCACCCAGCCCCACCCTCCCCACCCAGCCCCTCCCCACCCCTCCCATTTTTGGATGCACGACCGACGGACACAATAATCCCCTGTGGGCTGGTGTAACTAGGAGGTTCCTACCAGTATCATCATCAAGTATCATCATCGTCAACATAGCCTCACTCACTTCAAGACACGCATCGACTCTTTATCTACGACACCTTTGATAGTGCTGTTTGTTGCTGGCCGCCTGGTGCCGAGTCTTTGGGCCTAACTGTGCTCAGCAACTTTGATAAAAACAAAACAAAACTAAAGCCCATCGAGATCACGGAGGCGACGTGAAATCCGCCGTTCGTTTAAGGAAAATATGTCAATTTATATCTTTCGAATTTTGAGTGAATAGTGATTGTTAAATATGGACTTCGCGATATGACTTCTTTCGGGGCGTCACGGTGTCAAGATGTCAACTACCTCGCCTGGTATACAGGAGGCCGTGGGTTTCGATCCCGACCCTTTTTCAAAAACGACCTGGCCACAAATGAGAGCTCAACGAAGTAGCTTACCATGTGGAAATATTTCTCAGCCAAATACTTCCAAACGCGTGTTTCTAAATGTGGAGGGGAAATCGGGAGGACCCGGAGGAAAAATCCACGCGACCACTGGGATAACACGCAAACTCCAAATATACAGCCTTCAGAGTCGGGATCGAACCGACGACCTCCTGTATACCAGGCGAGGTAGTTAACATATCGCCAGCATGATACGCCCCAGGATCTATTGAAGAAAGTCTGACACTGCCGATGAGACACTGCGTGTTGAAACCCGTGCAGAATGTGCTTGCATCTGAATCAATGCTGCCGAAATGATATACTCCCAGAAGGCCGTGCAGCTAATGGGCTGTGTAAGACATTATTTAATTTCACGTGTAGAGACGGGTGTGTGACCGGAGAGACATACCGTCCACTTATTAATTTTGCTACATTCTAACGACGTTCTAAGTAGGGCTATAACGCCAGGAAGACGGATGCAATGCTGCACTCCCAGAAGGCAGTGCGCGCAGCTGATGGGCTGTGTAAGACGTCATTGAAGAAAAAAAATGTACGCGGAGAGAAAGATGTGTGACGAGGGAGGGAGGGAGATGGCCATGTAGGCACGTACCATGTCGGTGAAGATCTCAATGGCCCGGGTGAGGCAGTTGATTGCCTCTGAACAGTCATCAAAAGGAGAAAATCACGGATTGGAATCACACACAAAGACAAAGATCCCCCCCCCCACCCCCGTGTAGCCTTAATAGACTGTAGTAATAGGTTTTTACCCTTTCAACTGGTACAAAAACTGACACCTTTATGCAAAGGCATCATGTTTGCAATAACCACAACACAAGCAGTCAAAATGCAAACAAAAATAAACAACTCTGATGATGATAATGTATGCACTGTCCTTGAAGTTGATTGGTCCACACCCGAGACAACTTTCCTTAGAGCCTAGTCTCCATTGGTGTTGGACCAGATGAGGCCAAAAGGCGTACTCAACACCAATGGAGACTGGGCTCTAAGGAAAGTTGTCTCGGGTGTGGACCAATCAACTTCAAGGACAGTGCATACATTATCATCATCAGAGTTGTTTATTTTTGTTTGCATTTTGACTGCTTGTGTTGTGGTTATTGCAAACATGATGCCTTTGCATAAAGGTGTCAGTTTTTGTACCAGTTGAAAGGGTAAAAACCTATTACTATATTTTGCCACTGGTAAAGGAGACGTCTCATAACCTTAACAGACTGTTGGGGCAAGTGCTGTTAGCAAGCACCGCCTATGAAGGCCGGTACGGCACACGAGGGGGCGGGTGGCCAGCACCACGCCCGGCCGCCATTGTCTCCCCAGTGGCGATGTTTACACACCACACCAGTTACTCATTTGAGGCTGAGTCGACCTAATCGTCACCGGTGTTGGCCGTGAGCGGGAATCGAACTCGGGTCGCCTGGTTCGTAACGTAGCGTAGCGCTAACCGATGCGCTACCACCCCCCACGATATACTATACACACAGTACCATGCACACAGTATTATAAACACAGCACTATATACTGTATACAAAACTGCTGTGTATAAATACTTTACACAGTGCCACACACAGTGGCTATACGAGGGGATCTTTGTCTTTGGCCCTGTGTATAGTATTGTGTATAGTATTGTGTATAGTATTGTGTGTATAGCGTTGCTTGTGTAGTGTTGTGTGTAGTGTTGCGTGTATAGTGTTGTGTGTATAATATTGTGTATAATATTGTGTGTAGTATTGTGTATAGTATTGTGTATAGTATTGTGTGTATAGTATTGTGTATAGTAGTACTCGGTGTGTAGTTGTGTGTGGTATTGAGTGCTTCAAGTGCCGGTGCAGTTTGTTTAACCGAGTTAGAACTCGCAGAGACCAGCGGATGATTTCTCATTTGAAAGCGTGACCTGGGTCACAAAAAAATAACAAAACTCAAAATAAAGTCCAGCGCAGCAATGAAGCGGTGCCGCAGGAGAAATCGAAAACACTGCACAAACACTCAATCAGCGTTCAGTATTCCCTGCAGCGTAGCTCGTCACAGGCAGATTATTATTATTTTTAGACTGATCTCGGTACAGCGACAATTAAAAAGAAGTTTACATTAAACAGATATAGGGCGATTCCTGCACTATAAAAAAAAATATTTTATTTCACCAGGTAAAGTCCACTAAGCTGCATAGCTCTTTTTCAGAAGTGACCTGACCACAACTCACAGCCCAACGAAGTGGCTTATCACGTGGAAATGTACAGCAGCAGCCAAATCCTCTAAACGCGTGTTTCTAAACGCGGAGAGAAAAACCCGCAGGGCCCGGAGAAAAATCCACGCGACCACGGGGAGAGAGAGAGAGAGTGCAAACGCAAACTCCAAATATACAGCTGGCGGAAGGGTCGAACCCACGACCTCTTGCACAGCAGGCGAGGGAGTTAACATCTCGCCACCGCAGCGCCCCAAGTATGTATATGTGAAGAGACGAGGTTACGTGGTGCTACGAGCACACGTGTGTCTGTACGTGCTTAACGTGTGGATTGCTACGTGGTGCTGTGTGTGTGCGTGCGTACGGTGTGGATCGCGACGTGGTGCTGTGTGCGTGCGTACTGTGTGGGGCGCGACGTGGTGCTGTGTGCGTGCGTACCTTACATGCGTGCATGCGTATCGTGTGGATCGCACCGTGATGCTGTGTGCGTGCGTACCATGTGGATCGGCCTTCTTGTAGGCATTGCCCGCATCCACGTAGCTCACAGCCGCGTCGTGTTTGTTCTGCATCTGTAGGTGCAGGCGTGCGGCGTGGCAGAACGCATCGCCAGCCCCTAGGCACAACAAAGGCACAGGTCCCCCGAATAGCCTTCATAAACTGTTGGGGCAAGTGCTGTTAGCGGGGCAGTGCCTATGAAGGCCGACACGGCGCACGAGAGGGTGGGTGGCCAGCACCATGCCCAGTCGCCTTTGTCTCCCGAGTGGCGATGTTTATGCACTCAAATTTAAGGCCTAGTCGACCAAGCACATATGAACATACATGTGCGTAAATCCTTACATCTTTACATGTATACAAATACATATCCTTACATACATACATACAGCGACATATTTATACACAATCACACACATTTAAAGGCTCGCTGGAAGGTCACGGGACAAACTCAAGTGCCATGGGTTGACCAAGATGGCTGGCAGATGCGCCACCTGTGCTCCCCCCTGTGTCTCACTGCTGTGTTTTAGGCGGCCGGCGCTCCGCTCGTTGTTGTGAGCGTCACTCCTCTGCCCTCCGTTGTTGTTGGAGGGCGACTGCCTCCAACTGCCCAGTAGCAGCAGCGTCCTTCACGAGCCTCATCCTCCACAGAGGCCGATCTCGACACCGCTGGTACCAGTCATCTGCACGTCCAATGAGCTCCACAACCTCCCATATCACATCAGCGAGTCTCCTCTATCCTTTGCCATGCCCGTGTAGCCCCCTCTAATCCGGCCAAACAGAAGCCGCTCGGGCGTGCGTTGGCCTGGGAATGCGGGCCACGTGCCCCGGCCAACGCAGCCTCGCCTGCGAGAGGACCTCGCGTTGACCTGCAAGTGCAGCTTTCGAATGTCGATGGGGCATCGTACTGGTACGGGGCAGCCCCGCTGTGCGAATGCGGGGAGCCAGGAGACCACGGCGCACATCGTCTCTGGCCGTGAAGCAGAGGTCGCAAACGGGTTTTGATTCCTTACCACTACCCGGCCGCACCAGGGTCGCAAACGGGTACCCATACCCTACCCGTACCCGGCCAGGTACGGGTAGGGTACGGGTATCGGGTACCCGATTGCAACCTCTGGGATGAAGCCATGTTGCAGGCGCAGGTGGGTTGATTCTAGGAACTTGAATTGTGAGAAGAGACAAGACGTTGGGAAATGAGTGACAAACGGTTACTCACCAGTGACTCACGGTCTACCCGTACCCGGCCGCACCAGGGTCGCAAACGGGTACGGGTAGCCGGGTATCAGGTAGGGTACGGGTATCGGGTACCCGATTGCGACCTCTGCCGTGAAATCTGCCACGGCGTGCCAGGCCGACTGGTTGCCCTGCACGTGGCAGAGGAGGAGGCTGTAGCATGCCTCTGTGGCTACAATACATGGGCTGCCATTCACTCACAATATAACATCGACGAAACACAAGTTATTTAATGATAAAAAAACATTGTGTATCTGGTGCTCTAACTGTATGACAGTCACGTGTAAATGCATTCGCGAAGTAAATAAATAAAAAGTAGACCGTCTAAGCCTCACTCACCGCTCCAGTTTTTAGCCATCTTGAACGAGTTGGCGGCACGCGTGTAAATCTCGCACGCTTCTGCGAGTCTTGCCGGTCCCCTGCCAGACACACACGCACGGGAAACACGCACGGGAAACCCTCCGCTCAACGCTCCGCTCAAGGCTCCGCTCAACGCTCCGTTCAACACTGATTTTTATTTTAAGTGGCTTATCAACGTGGAATGTATCGAAACCAAATACTCTAAGCAAATGTTTATAAACGTGGAGGGGAAAACCAGATGACCCGGAGAAAAATCCACACGACCACGGGGAGAACATGGAAACTCCAAACATACAGCAGGCGTCACGGTCGGGATCAAACCCACGACCTCCTGTATACCAGGCGAGGTAGTTAACATCTCCTAGCCACCGTGATGAGAGAGAGACACGCAAACTCCAAATATACAGCAGGCAGCAGGGTCGAGATCGAACCCACGACCTTCCTGTGCACGATGCGAGGTCGTTAACATCTCGTGACTCCACTCAACACTCCAATGAACTCCCCACGTGATCTGCTGCATTGCTGTTCTTATCCACATCGAAGATTACCTCTTGAAAGCCGGCTTCATCGTCTCAGTGAGCTCATCATCATCATCAGCCACGGTCCATTCACTGCTGGATTAAGGCCTCCCCACAACAAAGGCCGACCTCGTGAGCAGGTCCCCCCCCAGGACCAGTTCAGATACCACTCACCACCGATGTTATCCGTGGGCCAGGAATCGAACTCAGGATTTCGCTTTAGCGAGGTGCTCTCACTACTGCACACAGCTGCTGCTCCTCCCCAATGACTCATACACTGTACATAACCCCATGACCATCATCTGTAAGATTATAAGATACACCCCCCAACTTTTGCTTTAAAATAGTGAAGGAAGAGTGATTTCTTGCACACATGGGATTTGCAGCATTGATTGCCCGTCTTCTGTGTACGGCTCTGCAGAGCCAGCCGTGTAAATTCCATTCATACGACGGTGGGCGAATCTATCCACGTGGCATGCACGCACCGTTGACTTCTCCACAATGTGGTGCTCAATTTATCGACCCCAGAGAGGGTGATGATGGGCTGAGTCAACCTGCAAACTAGGATTTGAATTCGCAATTTCCGATTGCTGCGACCCACTCGCTCTTCCCGTTTGAGCGATTTTTAAAATATGGGGGGAAGGAAATGCGTGACTTATCAGAGTCTGTTTATCCTGGAGGAAATCCGATGAGCTGTCAGGCTCTTTTCACACCGATGTCCAGTCGGGGCGGGTCATGAAGTTACAACAACAAACAATACGACAGGAGCGCAAAGCATAGAAAAGGAATACTCTTTGGTTCTTTCGGTAAGGCACGTCGGTAGAAATAAAGCAAAATTAATCAAAATAAATGTGATTTATTCCCGTTTCCCCTGCGAGCGATGTGATTTATTTTGTTTTATTTCTACCCACGTGACTTTACCGAAAGAACCAAAGAGTATGGATTCCTGCAGTCACGAAAGCTTCAAATCAAGATTATAGAAAAGGTAAATCACGTAAAAAATATATATATAAATAACACTAAACAATTGTTTTTATCTGACCATGTAAAGCCCACTAATCTATAAGCTTCTTTTTCAGAAGCGACCTGGCCACAAATGATAGCTCAACGAAGCGCATCATCATCATCACCACGTGAAAATATATCGCAGCGGCCAAATACTCCAAATAATCTATTCCGGAGAATACGGCAAATGTCACAATGAACCCGTGCAAATCCGCGGTGTGTGCGTGGGTTGTAGAGGTCGCATCACTCAGACGAGCGGCGTAATTATAGCACGAGATCCCGTTTCCCCTGCGAGCAATGTCCTACCCATTATTAAACCCGAGAAGCTGCGGCCCCGACCACCCCCGCAGAGATTCACGTGAAGAGCCGCGGGATTTGAGATGGCACTGGCTTGAACAAAAAAAAAGAACACGACGAACCGGGTAGAACGGAAACGGCTGCACCACCGGGTGCACGGCGGGGCAACGGCGTAGCTATCGAGGGTGCAGGCGGTGCAACTGCACCGGTGAGCCAGGGGCTGGAAGGGGCCCAGGTGTTGGGCTATGAAGAGGGGAGACTCAAATGCGTAACATGAAAGCCACAGACTAACATAGCGCCTCTATATTTGCACAGAAGCTATAGACTAAGGCGAGGACCCAGTGGCGTAGATATCGAGGGTGCAGGCGGTGCAACTGCCCCGTGGAACCAGGGGCTGGAAGGGGCCCAGGTGTTGGGCTACCAAGAGGGGAGACTCAAATGCTTAACATGAAACCCACAGACTAACATAGCGCCTCTAGATTTGCACAGAAGCTATAGACTAAGGCGAGGACCCAGTGGCGTAGATATCGAGGGTGCAGGCGGTGCAACTGCACCGTGGAACCAGGGGCTGGAAGGGGCTCAGCTGTTGGGCTACGAAGAGGGGAGACTCAAATGCTTAACATGAAAGCCACAGACTAACATAGCACCTCTAGATTTGCACAGAAGCTATAGACTAAGGCGAGGACCCAGTGGTGTAGATATCGAGGGTGCAGGCGGTGCAACTGCACCGGAACCCGTAGATTCGAGGGGCTCAGGCGCCGGGCTACGTAGAGATGGAAAAAATTAGAGGGGGGGTGGGGTCCCAATTTATTCCTGGCACCAGGGCCCACAGTGGCCCACGTATAGATCGAACGGATTCTTCAATGACGTTTCTTTAAAAGGAAAATTATATAACAGGGAACGTTTTGGACAACAGTGCTTCTTCACGTAACACACCGATTCACCATCAACACGGCGCAACCACACAATGCCGTGCACTGGCACAGCGTACACTGGCACAACAACACACACTGACACACTCTGACACACACTGACACACACACTGACACACACACACTGACACACTGACACACACACTCTGACTGACACGCACACACTGACACGCACACACACGCAGACACACTGACACACACACACTGACACGCACACACTGACACACACACACGCAGACACACTGACACACACACACTGACACACACACACTGACACACACACACTGACATATACGCGCGCTAACCGCTGCGCCACCACTCCCCGGGCCGACCGAGACGCACACGCTGACACCACGCCGAGACCACGGTCACCACGGTCACCGCGGCCTTTGTGAGACGCCACCGACCCAAAAAGGCCTCCGAGGAAGCTCTGCGCCCCCTTCACTTTCTTGTCGGCCTCCGCCATGAGCTGAGCTCCGTCCTGCTGCTTAGAGGCGGCATCCATCACGGAGGCGAGGAAGAGGAGGAGGAGAGGTGGAGGTGAGGAGGTGGACGAGGTGGACGAGGTAGGCGGCTGCAGGACAGACAAACGGGATTATATTTTAACACAAACTCAAAACGTGGTTTCAGCCGCGTGCGTCGCACGCCCATTGAAGCCTTTCAAGCCGGGGCCCGAGGAGGCGGCATGGATACCGTGCAGGAGAAACTTCTAAAGTGCACGGGGGGGGGGGGGGGGGGGGGGGAACGCCAGAGCCACACTGCCGATTTGTTCTCGTCAGCTCATTAGCATAGCTCATTCTGTTCATGAGCTCAGTAGCATATCTCGTTCTGTTCATGAGCTCAGTAGCATATCTCGTTCTGTTCATGAGTTCATTAGCATAGCTCGTTCTGTTCATGAGCTCATTAGCATAGCTCGTTCTGTTCATGAGCTCATTAGCATAGCTCGTTCTGTTCATGAGCTCATTAGCATAGCTCGTTCTGTTCATGAGCTCATTAGCATAGCTCGTTCTGTTCATGAGCTCAGTAGCATAGCACGTTCTGTTCATGAGCGCATTAGCATAGCTCGTTCTGTTCATGAGCTCATTTGCATAGCTCGTTCTGTTCATGAGCTCATTAGCATATCTTGTTCTGTTCATGAGCTCAGTAGCATAGCTCGTTCTGTTCATGAGCTCAGTAGCATAGCACGTTCTGTTCATGAGCGCATTAGCATAGCTCGTTCTGTTCATAAGCTCATTAGCATATCTCGTTCTGTTCATGAGCTCATTAGCATAGCGCGTTCTGTTCATGAGCTCATTAGCATATCTCGTTCTGTTCATGAGCTCATTCGCATAGCTCGTTCTGTTCATGAGCTCAGTAGCATAGCTCGTTCTGTTCATGAGCTCATTCGCATAGCTCGTTCTGTTCATGAGCTCAGTAGCATAGCTCGTTCTGTTCATGAGCTCAGTAGCATAGCTCGTTCTGTTCATGAGCTCAGTAGCATATCTCGTTCTGTTCATGAGCTCAGTAGCATAGCTCGTTCTGTTCATGAGCTCATTCGCATAGCTCGTTCTGTTCATGAGCTCAGTAGCATATCTCGTTCTGTTCATGAGCTCAGTAGCATATCTCGTTCTGTTCATGAGCTCAGTAGCATAGCTCGTTCTGTTCATGAGCTCAGTAGCATAGCTCGTTCTGTTCATGAGCTCAGTAGCATAGCTCGTTCTGTTCATGAGCTCAGTAGCATAGCTCGTTCTGTTCATGAGCTCAGTAGCATAGCTCGTTCTGTTCATGAGCTCAGTAGCATATCTCGTTCTGTTCATGAGCTCAGTAGCATATCTCGTTCTGCTCATTAGCATATCTCGTTCTGCTCATTAGCTCATTAGCATATCTCGTTCTGTTCATGGGCTCATTAGCATAGCTTGTTCTGTTCATTAGCTCATTTGCATATCTCGTTCTGCTCATTAGCATATCTCGTTCTGCTCATTAGCATATCTCGCTCTGATAATTAGCATATCTCGTTCTGATCATTAGCATATCTCGTTCTGTTCATTAGCATATCTCGTTCTGTTCATTAGCATATCTCGTTCTGTTCATTAGCTCATTTGCATATCTCGCTCTGGTCATTAGCATATCTCGCTCTGCTCATTAGCATATCTCGCTCTGCTCATTAGCATATCTCGCTCTGCTCATTAACATATCTCGTTCTGCTCATTGGCATATCTCGCTCTGCTCATTAGCATATCTCGCTCTGCTCATTAGCATATCTCGCTCTGCTCATTAGCATATCTCGCTCTGCTCATTAGCTCATTAGCATATCTCGCTCTGCTCATTAGCATATCTCGCTCTGCTCATTAGCATATCTCGCTCTGCCCATTAGCATATCTCGCTCTGCTCATTAGCATATCTCGTTCTGCTCATTAGCATATCTCGTTCTGCTCATTAGCATATCTCGCTCTGCTCATTAGCATATCTCGCTCTGCTCATTAGCATATCTCGCTCTGCTCATTAGCATATCTCGTTCTGCTCATTAGCATATCTCGCTCTGCTCATTAGCATATCTCGCTCTGCTCATTAGCATATCTCGCTCTGCTCATTAGCATATCTCGCTCTGCTCATTAGCATATCTCGCTCTGCTCATTAGCTGATGAGCTCATCAGCAACTCCCCAACCGCCCCAACCGCCGCGCAAACCCGGCGATTCGATTCCGCTAGTCGCGCAAAGCCGCGAATCGCGCGGCGCGTTCAGTCCTCCGCGCGTGATCGGCAAGTCCCGAGCGCGACGAACCGCCCTCAGAGTCGCTTCCCTCCCCGCCCCAAGGGAGCATCAACTCGCCCACCCACTCACCCCCAGCCCCTCACGGCCGCCGCGTCTTCACAGCGCCGCAATTGGCGTAGCGATTCACTCGCTGTCGATTCGCGCAAATCGATTCCGACTTCACCGCAGCCTTTTGGCAAACAGCGGTTCGATTCGATTTCAAGGGCGAACGGTTGGAGGAATCGATTCGCGCCGTTGAAATTTTGATATCGCCTCACGTACAATGACGATGATGATGATTGATGGGAGAGACGCGGTGAATGGCGCTGATGATGATGATGTTGTTGTTGTTACTTCACTGATGCTGCTGCTGCTGCTGTCCGCTCGCGCAGACGATGCTGCTGATGCTGCTGCCGATGTCGCTCCGCTCCGTATGGACCGCGCAGCTCCGCCCCGCGATGACGTCACTGCGCTAAAAAACAATGCTGCGGGATGACGTCATCTCGTCGCCCGGCGATACATGACGTCATTCGTCGCAATTGACAATTACCACTGTTAATTGAACCGCCTGTGGAATGACGTCATTGCCGTATTCCTTCGCCCACACCCCCTTTCCCCGCAGACATTGCTTCTACGGTACATGACGTCATTCCCGCTGCGTGACGCAATAACCGAAGACTTTACAATTATGACGCCAAAGTCACGTAGAAGGGAAATAATAAAAATAAAACATTATAAAACTGTCACGACGTTTCTATTGCAACGCAAGCAATCATCATCAGGTGTGAAAAACACAATTTATGTGGTTTTGCAATCGAAACGTCGTGAGAATATTATTTTTTATTTTCATTCTTTTATTATTTCCCTTCTACGTGACTTTACCGAAAGATCCAGTCACGAAAAAACTTTAAATCAAAATTATGACGCCGTCGATGTTATCATGAGGGTGACCAAATACAGCAACGTCAAATTGCGTTACTCGCTACAATGACGTCGACGTTCCTTTGTGACGTCATCGCCGACGTGCGCCACACTTAGGGGCCATCCATAAATGACGTCACGCGATTTTGGACGATTTTTGATCGCCCCCCTCGTCATAAAGTGTCAGACCTCCCCTCAGATATGACGTCATAAAGCTCTGCCCCCCCCCCCCCAAAACATAAAACATGCTTCAAATGGCTTTCAACTATTGTCATTGTAGTGCGTATTTAATGTGGCGCTGCACTCTGATGTTGTAGTTGAAAACATTATTTTAAAGTCTATTTATTTAAGTAGAACGTGTTGTCTATATTTATTTAAAGTTGCGCATTTTGATGTGACGTCACATTTCTCACCCCCCCCCCCCCTCGTCACACATCGTCACAAATGTCTGACCCCCCACCCCCCTAGATGCGTGACGTCATTTATGGACGGCCCCTTATTCGATATCCATATCGAACGCCTCAGGTCACGAGGCGCTCTGTAACAGTGTGTGTGTAAACAAAATGAAATGTAACAAAGATAAAGTTAATCAGAAATCACAACTTTTATTTATCCTGTAGAAATCCGATGAGCAATGAAGCTCTTTCCCCCCCCCCCCCCCCCACCGGGAAACCCGAAAACGCGGTGGCGCTCTCCAGAGGTCGCAAACGGGTTTTGATTCCCTACCCGTACCCGTACCCAGCCGCACCAGGGTCGCAATCGGGTACCCGTACCCGGCCGTACACGGGTACCTGATTGCGACCTCTGGGATGAAGCCACGTTGCAGGCGCGGGTGGGTTGATTCTAGGAACTTGAATTGTGAGAAGAGACAAGACGTTGGGAAATGAGTGACAAACGGTGACTCACCAGTGACTCACGGCCTACCCGTACCCGTACCCGGCCGCACCAGGGTCGCAAACGGGTACCCGTATCTGGCTGGGTAGCCGGGTATCGGGTAAGGTACGGGTATCGGGTACCCGGTTGCGACCTCTGGCGCTCTCACACTCCGTAGCGCTCGGCCAGGAAGTCTACGACGGCGGCGGTGCTGGACAGCGAGTTGAAGGAGAGGCGGTCGGCTCGCGAGGCCAGGCGCTCCATCATGAACACGAGGTGCTGGTGCAGGCAGCAGAAGGGGACGCCAAGCGCCAGCGCCGAGTCCAGCCAGTCCCGGACGCACGCCAGCGGGGTGTCGGGGAAGCCGGCGAACAGCGCGGGGTTGGTCAGCAGGCCACGAGCCACCATCACTCCTGAACCGCAGCAGAGGCAAAGGCAGAGGTAGTGGCAAAGATCACCCCATACTCTTTGGTTCTTTCCGTGTAGCCTTAACAGACTGCTGGGGCAAGTGTTGTTAGTGAGCACCTATGAAGGCCGGCACAGCACACGAGGGGGTGGGTGGCCAGCACCACGCCCGGCCGCCTTTGACTCCCCAGTGGCGATGCTCACACATCACCCCAGGTACTCATTTGAGGCTGAGACGACCTAGGGGAGGCCCAGGACTGGTTCAGATAATCGTCACCGGTGTTGACCGTGAGTGGGAATCGAACCCGGGTTGCCAGGTTCGTAGCGCAGCGCGCCAACCGCTACACTACCGCTCCCCACACACACACACGCACACACACACACGCACACACACACACGCACACACACGCACACACGCACACACACACACGCACACACACGCACACCACACACGCACACACGCACACACACACGCACACACACGCACACACACACGCACACACGCACACACGCACACACACGCACGCCCGATTCGTCCATCCGACCGTGCGTGTTGAGGACTGACCAAAAACGAAACTTTATTTTACCAAGGTAAGGCCCCACTGAGCTATACAGCTGTTCTCTTTCTTTTCTAGAAGCAATCTGGCCATCACAAGTGATAGCTCAACGATGTGGCTCATAGCGTGGAAATGTACAGCAGCCAAATACTCTTTACCCAGTGGCAAACACACCTCTGATTCTTACGATTCTCATTCCCCCCCCCCCCCCCCCGTCTCTCACCGCTGGCGCCCGTGTCCTCGGCGAGCCGCCGCGCCTCCTCGTCGGTGCGCACGTCCCCGTTGGCGACGACGGGCACGGAGAGCGCGTCGCTCACGGCTCGCACGGCGTCCCTCCTCACCGGCTGGTGGCGCTCCTGGGCGGTGCGGCCGTGCACCGTCACGAAGGACAGCCCCACCGCCTCGGCACGCCGGCACAGCTCCACGGTGCGGCCCACGTCCTCGTGCACCCTGGTGGGGGGGTGGGGGGGGTGGGGGGGGGTGGGGGGGGGGGGGTGGCGTGGGGGGGGGGCGTGGGGGGGGGTTAGAGTCCGGACACGGGTCGCGTCGCTCGAACACGCAACGACGGCCTAGCTGCCGGGTCGTGCGAGGGAGGAAGAGGAGGTGGTGGGAAGGGGAGGTGGAGGGGGGGCAGGAGGTGGAGGGGGGGGAGGGGGGGTAGGAGGAGGAGGGGGGATGGAGGAGGGAGGGGAGGATGGGGAGGGGGGAGGAGGTGGAAGGGGGGAGGAGGAGGTAGGAGGGGGGGGTAGGAGGAGGGAGGGTAGGAGGAGGTGGAGGAGGTGTAGGTGGAGGGGGTGGATGTGGAGGGGGGGAGGAGGGGGGGTAGGAGAGGGAGGAGGTGGAGGGGGGGGGAGGTGGAGGGGGGGAGAGGAGGGGGGGTAGGAGGAGATTTAGGAGGTGGAGAAGGTGAGGGGGGAGGAGGTGGAGGAGGAGGAATGGGGGGAGGAGGTGGAGGGGGGGGAGCTAGTAGGAGGAGGAGGCAGAGGGTGGTAGAAGAGGTTGAGGCAGGAGGTGCAAGAGCAGATGACGAAGTGGCAGGAGGAGAAGTAGGAGCTGTTGACGTTGGGTGAACGGACCGTATTTTGATGGAGACGCTGAAGTTGGGGTCGGGGATCTGCGCTCGGACTTGCCGCACCATGTCCCTGACCAGCTCGGGTTTGTCCAGGAGACACGCCCCGTAGCCCTCGGACACGGCCCAGCTGCGCACACCGCACACACAAAGACAAAGATCCCCCGCGTAGCCTTAACAGGCCGTAGGGTCAAGTGCTGTTAGCGAGCACCTACGAAGGCCGGCACGGCGCACGAGGGGGCGGGTGGCCAGCACCACGCCCGGCCGCCTTTGTCTCCCCAGTGGAGATGTTTACACACCGCACCGGGTACTCATTTGAGGCCGAGTCGACCTAGGGGGGGGGGGGCCCAGGACCGGTTCAAATAATCGTCACCGGTGTTGGCCGTGAGCGGGAATCGAACTCGGGTCGCCGGGTTCATAGCGCAGCGTAGCGCTAACCGCTGCACCACCGCTCCTCTGCACGTGTCACTTGAGTTTCACTCTTCATCGTTTCGAGACGTCTGCAAGTTGCAGGGTGGGGGGGGGAGTCCCGTTCACCACTAAATCTCGGGATGCGTAAGCGGAGAGGCGTTCATTTCATTTAGAAAGGCGTCGCGTCGTTTGCTTTTAAGGACAACGTCCATTCAGACGCTGTCTCCCCGACAGACCTGGTCTTCACCTGAGGACGGCTGCTTGCGTTGTGGCCGAAACGTCGTGAGAATTATTTTATTATGTTTTATTTTTATTATTTTATTATTTCCCTTCTACGTGACTTTACCGAAAGAACCAAGAAGATGAATCCCTGCAGTCACGAAAGCTTTAAATCGAAATTGAAGGACATTGTTAGGGGCCGTCTGTAAATGACGTCACGCGATTTTGGACGATTTTTGACCCCCCCCCCCTTCGTCACACGGCGTCACAAAAAGTCAGACCCCCCTCAAATATGACGTCACAAAGCTCTGCCCCCCCCCCCAAAAAAAAAACATGCATCAAATCGCTTTAAACGATTGTCATTGTAGTGTGTATTTAATGTGCCGCTGCACTCTGATGTTGTAGGAGAAAACATTTATTAAAAAGTCTATTTAATTAAGTAGAACGTGTTGTCTATATTTATTTAAAGTTGCGCATTTTGATGTGACGTCACATTTCTCAAAACCCCCCCTCTCGTCACACATCGTCACAAATGTCTGACCTCCACCCCTAGGTGCGTGACATAATTTCCTCCTGCACACCAGGCGAGGTAGTTAACATCTCCCAGCCACCGTTGCTCGCCGCATACATACAACGTAGCCCCACTACAGCCACCAGTTCTTACGCACGGCAACCGCCCAACCCAAGCGATATCCAGCCTCGATCCTGCCCGGCGCCTGGCCTCGTCCTTCCGAGGTCGATCCCCGACGCCGCGGGGAGAGCCGACGGAGCCGTCCCTCACCGCTGGGGGCAGCCGCAGTTGAGGTCGACGCCGTCGGCGTACGGGGTCACGGCGAGCGACGCCGCCGCGAGGTCGTAGGGGTCGTTGGCGGCAAACTGGACGATGAGCGGACGGTCAGCTGTGTGCGGACAAGCGATCGTCGTCAGCGGCGGCAGCGGTGGCGTCATCATTCGATTACAAAAATTCAAACAACTTTTGTCTAGTAGTAGGTTTTTACCCTTTCAACTGGTACAAAAACTGACACCTTTATACAAGGCATCATGTTTGCAATAACCACAACACAAGCAGTCAAAATGCAAACCAAAAGAAACAACTCTGATGATGATAATGATATGCACTGTCCTTGAAGTTGATTGGTCCACACCCGAGACAGCTTTTCTTAGAGCCTAGTCTCACATGGTGTTGGATCAGTTGACGCCAAAAGGCGCACAACTCAAACTTTTGTCTGACCTGGTTAAGGCCCCACGGAGCTGGATGGCTCGTTTTCGGGAGTGAGCTGGCGATCACAAATGAAAGCTCGACGAATTGGCTCATCATCATCATCGTCATCATCATCATCGTCATCATCATCATCGTCATCATCATCATCGTCATCATCATCATCATCGTCGTCATCATCGTCGTCACGTGGAAATTTAGAGCAGTGGCCAAATGCTCTAAACTTCCTCGACCTTCACTATGAGACCTCTTTTACCAGTGGCAAAATATAGTAGTAGGTTTTTACCCTTTTCAACTGGTACAAAACTGACACCTTTATACAAGGCATCATGTTTGCAATAACCACAACACAGGTAGCCAAAATGCAAACAAAAAGAAACAACTCTGATAATGATGTACGCCTTCTGGTGTCATCTGGTCCAACACCAATGGGGACTAGACTCTAAAGAAAGCCGTCTCGGGTGTGGACCAATCAACTTCAAGGACAGTGCATATTATTATCATTATCAGAGTTGCTTCTTTTTGTTTGCATTTTTGACTACTTGTGTTGTGGTTATTGCAAACATGATGCCTTGTATAAAGGTGTCAGTTTTGTACCAGTTTAAAAGGGTAAAAACCTACTACTACTTCCGCGACCGTTTCTGACCCGCCCCTGACTTGAAATCTGTTTTTCTTTTTAAATCCTTTATATTAAGTTCGCGTGCTTGCTTGCTTGCTTGCGTGCTTGCTTGCTTGCTTGCGTGCTTGCTTGCTTTCTTAGGACCGTGCAAATCTTTCGGTCGTTTTTTAATCCACTTCCCGTGATCCAATCGAGCTGACATTTTCCACACAGACTCGTTGTGCCAGAGAATTATTGTTCGTGAAAAAAAATTCAAAAATTTTACACTTTTTAGGCAAAAAAAAATATTTTACATATATTCAAATAGAACGCATTCATGGCTTTGGCTGAACGTCAGAGTGTAAGAGCCCAGAGCGTAACCCCTCCACAGGCCGTGGTGGAGTAGCGCAGTTGGTAGCGCCCTCGCTTCCCATGCCAAAGGTCGCGGGATCGATCCCCGCGTCTTCCACAGGCGAATATATTTTTAAATCCTTTATATTAAGTTCGCGTGCGTGCTTGCTTGCTTGCATGCTTGCTTGCTTGCTTAGGACCGTGCAAATCTTTCGGTCGTTTTTTAACCCACTTCCCGTGATCCAATCGAGCTGACATTTTCCACACAGACTCGTTGTGCGTGACAATTAATTTTCGTGAAATTTTTTTTCAAAAATTTAAAATTTCATATTAAATATTTAATTACCAATTGGTTAATACTGGCAGACAATCATCTGACCCATAGATTGCAGCCATCTCAAGCCAGAGGACGAGAGAACTCTAGCCGCCACGCATATAAAGGATTTAGAGTGAAAAACTTTGTTTTTACGGGTTATACTTATTTTAAATAGAGCTTCGCAGCTCATCGGATTTCTCCAGTCTGAATAAAGAATCCGATTCCGACCTTGACCTTTCCCGACACTGGCGAGGCCACTGCACCTCTGAATAGCACGGTTGGCTACGTACAGTACGAAAGAGGTGCAACATATACACATAGACTCACGCAGAGACGCATAGACTCACGCCGAGACCCATAGACACACACAGAGACCCATAGACTCACACAGAGACCCATAGACTCACACAGAGACCCGTAGAGTCACACAGAGACCCATAGACTCACACAGAGACGCATAGAGTCACACAGAGACCCATAGAGTCACACAGAGACCCGTAGACTCACACAGAGACCCATAGACTCACACAGAGACCCATAGACTCACACAGAGACCCATAGACTCACAGAGACCCGTAGACTCACAGAGAGACCCATAGACTCACAGAGATCCATAGACTCACACAGAGAGCTATTTCTTTAGAACGGCTTTTAGTGTTTAGTTTGCTATCCTCCCCACGCACGTCCGATTAGCGTGGTCGACTATGTACGGTGCGAAAGAAGTTCATACGTAAATACACGCACATTTGACCTCAGTTTGATACAGAGGTCGCAACCGGGTACCCGATACCCGTACCCTACCCGATACCCGGCTACCCGTACCCGGCCAGGTACGGGTACCCGTTTGCGACCCTGGTGCGGCCGGGTACGGGTACGGGTAGGCCGTGAGTCACTGGTGAGTAACCGTTTGTCACTCATTTCGGGTAGGGTACGGGTATGGGTAGGGAACGGGTACCCGTACCCATTTCAAACCCGGCCGGGTACGGGTACGGGTAAGGAATCAAAACCCGTTTGCGACCTCTGGTTTGATATAAACGCCCGACGGCTTCCCCCCCCCCCCCGGCCGCGACCCCCCCCCCCCCCCGGGCATCCCCGTGTAGACCCGCGGGGCCTCACCTGCGTTGGTGGTGAACTCGCTGTCGCGCGCACGCAGCGAGCGCGCGAAGGCGTCGGCCAGGATCATGGGCGTGAAGCAGAGGTCACAGCCGTAGCGCCGCACCAGCGAGCGGAACGCCAGCCTGGGGCCAAGCGGGGAGAGGGGTGCGTGAGAGAGCGTGGGGAGAGCAGGGGGAGAGTTTCAGTTTCATTTCATTGATTAGCTATAGCCCTGTGAGCCATTGGGCTCTTGAATCGGGTGCAACCGCAACAAACAAAAAACAAAAAAAAACATGAACAAGAAAACATCTTAAAGTGACTATGTGCAAACAGAAAAATCCAGGAAAAAACTGCAAAGTCTTCCAGAAAAAAAATCACCGTACACCAACGCTGTGTGCAAAAATCCTAGTGGGATGCAAGTCAAACAACAACAACCACAAGACAACTTAGATTAAAGCCACCCTTCTAACTCCGTACTACAACAAACAAACATGGCCAAACCAATACACTTTTCGAAATCACCAAAATAAAACCAGCAGCAATAGCTCTGGAGTCGCTTTCGATAGGGATCACCAACATCGAGTCGAGCTCCGTGACAATTGCACCTCGCGCCGCGTGCGCCTCGTGGCCACGTGCGCCTCGCGCCGCGTGCGCCTCGTGGCCACGTGCCATGCAGGCACCGCGTCATCACCCACGTGGTCCGCGTAAAGTTACCTGGTTACAACGTGAAAGTCAGTGCACCGGGACAGAGAGGGAGAGAGGGAGAGTGAGAGAGACCGACAGAGACAGAGTGAGACAGAGTGAGACAGACAGAGTGAGACAGACTTTTTGACTTTTAGACAACTTTTATTGCCGCCAGCAGCAACAGCAGTGGAGGCGATTCCGATATGGAGAGAGACAGAGAGAGAGACAGAGAGAGTGAGAGACAGAGAGACAGAGAGAGTGAGAGACAGAGAGACAGAGAGAAACAGAGTGAGAGACAGAGAGAGAGACAGAGAGAGTGAGAGACAGAGAGACAGAGAGAGTGAGAGACTGAGAGACAGAGAGAAACAGAGTGAGAGACAGAGAGAGAGACAGAGAGAGTGAGAGACAGAGAGACAGAGAGAGTGAGAGACAGAGAGAGAGACAGAGAGAGAGACAGAGAGAGTGAGAGACAGAGAGACAGAGAGAGTGAGAGACTGAGAGACAGAGAGAAACAGAGTGAGAGACAGAGAGAGAGACAGAGAGAGTGAGAGACTGAGAGACAGAGAGAGTGAGAGACAGAGAGAGAGACAGAGAGAGTGAGAGACAGAGAGACAGAGAGAGTGAGAGACTGAGAGACAGAGAGAAACAGAGTGAGAGACAGAGAGAGAGACAGAGAGAGTGAGAGACTGAGAGACAGAGAGAGTGAGAGACTGAGACACAGAGAGACTGAGAGACAGAGAGACAGAGAGAAACAGAGTGAGAGACAGAGAGAGTGAAAGACAGAGTGAGAGACAGAGTGAGAGACAGCGTGAGAGACAGAGAGAGACAGACAGAGAGACAGAGACATACAGAGAGACAGAGCGAGAGACAGAGTGAGAGAGACAGAAACAGAGAAAGACAGAGTGAGAGACAGAGTGAGAGACAGAGTGAGAGGCAGAGTGAGAGACAGAGAGAGTGAGAGACAGAGAGAGAGACATACAGAGAGACAGAGTGAGAGACAGACAGAGAGACAGAGAGAGACAGAGAGAGAGACAGACAGAGAGACAGAGTGAGAGACAGAGTGAGAGACAGAGTGAGAGACAGAGTGAGAGAGACAGAAACAGAGAAAGACAGAGTGAGAGACAGAGTGAGAGACAGAGTGAGAGACAGAGTG